GTCCATGCTGGAAAACAAACTGGACCATGAAGGAGAGCAGGGCCCAGCTGAGAGCATGTCTCAGCAAAACACAAGACGACCAAAAATCTGTAGTGTCAAAAGCACAAGATGTCAATAAGCAAATCTGCTTGGTCACAACGGGTGATGTGGGAAAAAAGAAAAGAAAAGCAGTAGGTCAGATATTCACATCTCAGTGTGAAAACTGCAGCAGATTGTTCCAAATATTGAGATAGCCGTATATTTTCTCACATAGACCACTAGACAGAATGTGGAAAAAAAATTGTGTCTAATTTTAGCATAACAATTGTGGCATTAGTTCCATAAGGTCAGGCTACATTTAAGATCTGACATTGCAATAGGTCAAGCAAGTCATAGGGAATATTTCTTTGCAACAGCAAAGGCTAAGTTCTTTCACTCTGTCAAAGGAACTCTTTAATTTAGAATATATCAACAGGAAATATATATTCATCTTGCCCTTTTATTAGCTGTCTTTGGGAAATTGCAATGTGCTTTGAAAGTTATTATAATTATTTCACACACTCTCCTGAGACAAAGATCAAATTTATATTTAAAAAAGTAGCATTAGTCCATTGTTTAGTTACCTAAGCTGTAAGAAGCCCATTAGGTCAATTCCATGGCAACAATGTGTGAACTCCTGTCCTGTGCATAGACCCAACGGGACATCAGGATAGCTGATCACTGCCACCAAGTGTTGACCGTGAGTACTACAATGTAATGAAAACAAATAGAATTGCTGATAGCATGACAATGCAAAATAATAAAATTATAATAATCAAAAAATTATGATGGTGACCAGTGTCTGAGTCAAAATAAGGTCAGACAATTGATATGTTGCAATACAAAACATTAGTCCAACAATGTTTTCCTTTAAGGCATATTTGAAACAAACTGGCCTCAATGCAGTTATCGATTCATGTATGCATTTGTAAATTTCTGAAGAAACAAGCCCCATATTGTGAGTGAAAACATTAAAAAAATCATAAAACTTGAAGTCTGCCATTTTAAGATTGTTTCATCTCTCCAGAGCACCCTTAGAAAGGAAACTGCTGTACAGACAATACCATGGCCATGATCTGGCCTTGATCATGTCACCGGTCACTAGCAGAGAGCGGCTGGGGAGTCGCTACAAACATGGCTGTTGATGAGGCGATTATGTGGCTTTACTCTGGAGCGCCTGAGTATGACAGTGGAGCTGGCAGGGAGACACTACACCTTGTTAGCACTCTGTTGTGCTGAGTGTACTAGTTGGTCGAATAGTAAGGCTATACCACAGGGCATGAGGGGCTTATTGCAAGTCAGGGGATTATAAACAGGCATCTGTGTTACAGCATCCATACTATATAAAGTGAGAAACAACAACGTTCTTTTCTTAACAGTCTCATAGTATTCCATATTATTTGTGCTCCTCCGGATCAAACTAAACTTTGAGTCTGGTGTAAAACAAACACATTAGCAGCAGTTACTGCATATGTGCTAAAAATGTTCCCTTAATGTATGACTGAAGTCTGCATTTGGAAAGACTAAAATGGCACTCTCATGAAAAAGCCTGGCAAGCAAAAGTTAATTATAACAGCAACTGCCGCAAAATGTTCTGTGCAAATCTTGACATAGAACAAGCCCACATTTTCCCAGCATCACATTTCTAAAAAACAGACAACTCCATCAACCACAGCAAATAACTTACTAAATATGCACAGTTGTAGGGAAGGATATGAAAGAGCTTAAGAAGCAAATAAAGAAATCTGGTGCAACTGGAGAAGCAGGCAACCATAAAACATGGAGGTACACAGAATTTCACAGCTGTGTGAACAGTTAAAGCAGATGCGATGGGATGTGATGGTGGCTGCATACAGAGAGGCGGGTTGTAAAAATATGCTATAAAGTTTATGAGGCCTAATGCGGCCCTGCAGGAGTCTCCAGCAGGGCTGAGCATGCCCACAGTGCCATTGAGAGTGTGACAGAGCAGCAGGGAGGAGACATACAACTGGGAGCATAGAGCGCACTCACAAGCTCCATCACTCTGTGGGGCTGTGAATACAAGACGCACATACGCACAACAACAAGCACACAATCAACAGAAATAACAATGCTGTTTTATTTCTCTACTACCTTAAAAATAATCTTTCTTACTCCATCTCCTGGACAATAGATAAATCCTACATGAATTATCAATGCATAGACATCAAACATATTGGTTGAGAACCTACAAGCATGAACACAGCCCAAAGCAAATAGACTATAAAAGACAGCCACTGCTATATTCACTGTCAGCCCGCTGTGACCACTTTAGTTTTTCGTGTTCCCTTCAAAATAACAAGAGATAGCTCTGCCCCTCTGATTGAAGAGCAATGATTGTTTCTACCTTACATTTGATAGAATGGGAGAAAAGGCATGAAAAAGGATGTGCAAAAATATTCTGTAAACACAGCGTCAAAATGTGAGACTTGTATACCATGCAATTAACAATAGAGCAGTTTAGTTCTGTAATTTACATACAACTTTTTCATTGGGCAGGTTCCAAAAAATATATATTTCTAAACCTTCTGCACTTGTGAATGTAAGAGTTGGTAGCCTTGGTTGGCTTCATGCAAACAAGACATAATAGTCACCAAAGAATGTTCAGCCATCATAGGTTATTTTAAATTGTGCTGTTCTTTACAATTCGACAAACATATTCTACCTTCTATCTATCTAAACGAGCAGAAAATTATTCAGTCCGGCATTCAAAGAGAGATCTTATTCAACCACTCCCACCCTAGTGCATGTTTCCTTGATCTTTATTTAAGACAGAATTTATGGTGAACACTGGCTGGGGGCAGGAGAGGCACACACTATTGATTAATTTTTCATTGACATTCTTTTAACGCACCAAGGACACGTGCCACATCAAACCTGTTCACTCGGCACATGGTTTAATACTGGCTTGAAACAAAAAAGTCTTGTGAGGCTTGTGGATTTAAAAGGTAAAAAGGAGAATAAGTGGAAAAGTATACTTTGATTTTCTTTCAGGAATACTTTCATAGGCCTTTGGTAAACATTCTAGACCCACTGAAGAAGTACTTTATCAGAGTTAAAGAGAAGCCAGATGTCTTCTTATGCTCTTGTCATTGGAAGGCTGTATAGTCCTCTGGCCTTCCACATACTCATTACTCAGGCACTTACATACACTGTACCAGCTTGGCGGAAGCACCATGAGTCCTGCAGTATATATTGATCTTTGACTGTTGGTCAAAGCCACAGAATTCTGCTTTTTCACACATGGATTACACAGTTTTCTCACTGGTCCAGTCTTAACACTCATTGTCCCAGCAGCAGTTTTTTCCAGCTGCTGGGACTGTCAATAGTAGTGCTTAGAAACTCAAGTATGCTTTCTCAATCACGCTGCATGAGTCTGGCACATATTGCTTTAACATGGCCTTTGATTAGTGACATAAACCAGTGCAATGTTTACCACAAACTGTAGAGTGAGGACGAACATTGGTCTTAGCTTACACTAGCCCATTGTGACCAGCAGGTGCAAGGTATGCATGCACTCTCGTTGCCTTCAGTTGAGCTGCAGGAGGTGAAGACAGTAGGACTTAGTAGTGATGTATTTCGGGCATAACAGTTTGACTGGATTAAAGCCAATTCAGTCAGCCTCTATTCCCACCTCTAAGTCTACTGGGAGAAGCCGAGTGCCAGAGAGATTTCATGCCTGAGACAGAGGAGTTAGAGTTGTGTGTTCCCTATAGACAATCCTAACCAACACTTCCCTCTAGCACATCTAAGAGCGCTCAATCCCAGAAGCACGCTGACAGCGTGAAAATGGGAATGTGCCACCAAAGCAGGGAGCTAACTGTAGGCCATGATTGGCTAACCAGGCTAAATGTCTTCTCTTTCTTTTCTACGAAAATGAAATGAAAAGAGTGGCAGCGGGACACTTTACAATAGCAGCCGTCCAAAAGTGTAGGATTAACCGTAAAGTCACATAAGTCACACATGGAAAGCAGAAAACTTTTAAACTATCAGGGCTACCTTCATTAAGTTATGTAGATGTTGTACTTTAGAAGGGGCAAATGTTAGATACATTTTACTGACAACTCACATCCACAAAAGGCTTTTTACCAAAGACTTGTCCAAGGACAAGATGGAAAATGAAATCAATATAACATTATTTTATAATGCTTCAAAGATGACCTCCTGTTAAGAGTTGTTTTTCACACCGCAAACAGGTTTTATGCTCCTATTGCAACATTTAAAGCACAAAACACTGAATCAAACAGATGAATTCACCATGAAGGCTCAGAACATGGCATAATACTGTGTGTGAGGAAAATAATGTCACTCAGTTGACAGCATGCCTTTGTTAACTAGAAAGACGCCTTTGTTAACGTGAAGGAGGCAATGTGAAAACCACAAAAACAATAGTATTTAGAGTATTTAGAAAAACACTGTGTGCAGACATCAAACCTTATTCAACAAAGATAGTCATTTATATAGTGTGTGCAGCCAATGGACTTATGTTCAGCACTCAAAAATATGTGTTTGTTGATTGTTAATTATTTTATTTTAGCTCCAGATTATTATTTAATATTTTCAAAACACACTCTTCCCATTTGAGCAAATGTAGATCTCAGTTTCTCATAAACCAATTACAAATTATGAACATTGGCTCTCTGTTAGCATAACAATATTCAAATGCTAATAGGTGTCTAATGGTGGTTTTCAAATGTGTGCCAGTTTATTTCCGTGAGGTATACTTTCCAAATCCTTCATTTCAAAGTGCTCCCATTTACACACCAGAATTAAGATGGCAATTTATAGCTCTTTAAAATTACAGTCCATTAGCAATATCAGGAACGAAAATAAAATCAGGGGTGTAACACAGCATTGAAAACACACCACTCAACATCTACCCCTCTTCAACTGTTTGTGTGTTTGAATAGAGACATACAATGAAAGTACACAATTGAGAAGCCAAGTAAATAATAGGCACTTACCGCAACTTTGCTCCCAGTTATCTGCATGCAGCGATCAGCGGAGGTTAATGTGCAAAAAGACAAACACAGCACAATCGTTAGTAGGCCAGACAATCATCTCAATGACCAGACAGCGACATTTGTGTGGCACGGGAAACATCAATCACGCAAAGGTGGAAGCGCACACTTGATCCCCCAAACTTTTAATGGCCATTCTTAACTGTAACTTAAGAAAATGCCAGCACGGTCAAGCTACAGTTTTATAAAACTTTGCTGAACAAAAACTGTGCAACAAAATATTCAGAAATTCAAATATATTCAAAGTTACCTGATGGTGATTTATTTGCATGCACGGTTAGAGGCATCAACCGCTGTGAAAGCGTGAATCAATAAGGTAGACGTGCTGGTTTTCACACAGGGGTTCTATTAAATGATTAATGGCTTACAGTATGCTGTTGTCATTTTGAACACGTTGTAGCATAACAACTAACTTTTTATGAAGCCAGTCTTTTATAAATCTCCCAAGTTGTATCAGGTAATGTAAGGTCAGTGTGCAGTGGAAGGTGGAATGGATTAAATTTCAGATATACTTTTTTGCACTGTAGAGTTGATTAGAAAACAAACATTGGAACATTAGGACATTAGTGGCCATTGCAGTAACTGAAGTTGCACTAAACCCTGAGGGGCTTCAATCAAACAGCTGCCAAAAATACTGAGCTTCACTTGTCAAATTTGTATATTTCCTGTGCTGTGAGCCTGAGCCGTCAGCATGTTCTACACTTAACCTTGCCATCTGTCAATAATGGTACAAGGCAAAGTGTGTGGACGTACGATCTTTGGTCACTTTTATAATTATTATTATTATTATTATTCACATCAATATATTCTGAAACATGATTAAATTAGCATGATTAAGATTTGAGGTAGCACGTCCTTCTTATTACAATTAAATTCACTTTTTATGCTTTCTCTAAGTCTGAGGACATTTGTTGCAGAATTTAAACTCCCAATCTTTTCACTTGAAGTTTATGGCAGTCATAAAGTCGCTTTCACAGAAGCCTGATCAAGCCCAAATTATATTTTACATCATACTCTGCATCCACACTTTTTTCCCAATCGTGCAAATTCCCACCGTCAGCTTTTAATACTAGGGGCTATTTACACTAAATAAATGTTGCAGACCTGCCTAGTGCTGCTTTCACTGGAGCTGATGCCTGTAAGACATTGTATGTATTTTTAAGTGATTTAAAGCAGCTTGACAACCACAGCCGGCATTGTCTTGAGTGTAACATAAAGTCTGGAAGGAGGGGGGTGACACTGAAAACTTGTTGTGCTCCCAAAACAAGTTTGAGAACTAGTATTAACAGTTCTGGCATTGAACTTATGAAATCTCTTGATTGACATGACAGCGTGCATTCAGTACTTTATGTGAATATTATAGCAATATTTTTTTCAAAATATACACAAAGGCTTTTAAGTGGATAGAAAGGACTTTGATAATTGGAGCTCATGTCGTGCCCTTTTTTGAGAATGCAGTGAAACATTTGTGCTAACTGAATAAAAGTGTCATAATCAGAGTGAGCAGCACCCCCTCCCCCATACAAGACCCTGCCATCACACTTCTTTTCAATTTGAGGCGCAGAAGCTTTGGATTGATGCGCTAAATTATTCACTGTCAGCAGAGGAGTCAATCAGAAGAATATGAGTGATTGTGTTGTTGTTACAGGGATTTTTGGCAGCTTTAATCGTGTTGGCACACAATGTTAGGAGGAAAGAAGAAAATCTTTTTTGTTTTTTTTTAAAGGTGAGATAGAAAGCGAATGTGCATGCAAAGCTGATGGTCAAGGACATGGGCAGACCTGCGAAATCAGAGCCGGATTCCATTAAAACACAGCTTCTATTCAAATGATGGAGGTCAATGCTCTTGTGGAAATAAAAAGACGTTCTATTATGAGTTGGGAGTAATTTGCCCGCCCCCTGCTGAGTATGGGAGTGCGCTCAATCTTGCCTGGTGATAGTCTACAAGAGAGGTGGCAAGTCACAAGCAAGAAGTGGAAAAATCTGAATTTCTATTCACAGGCTTTCTGTCAAGAGTAAACATAATCAGCCAAAATACTAAAAATGTGCAAGAACTAGGGAGGCTATTCCATTTTTTAAAACCAAAGTTTACTCATTTTGTCCAGCTAAAATGAAATTTCTATTCCTACAAAAAGGATGTAATCTTTAATCAAATAATGAACATCTTGTCCTGATATGACCAAAAGGAAAGAACAAAAGGAAATGTGCCAAGGCCCTCCAACAGAATTCACAAAGCAACAAACATAAGACAGTCCATGTGGGAAAATAACATGATCCAATGCACCACAGCTACAGAGACTGACACCAAGGAAAAAGGAACACCGCATCCAGATCCATCACTACAGACAGTATAGACATTCCCATCTATAGGAATAAACATGCTCATCCTAAAAAAGAATAAAAACAGGTAGTTCAGTTTTTACACTATACTTTGGAGTTTTGTTTTGTTTTTTCGTATATATGGAAGCTGTCATATACTTATAATATATGATCGATAGGTAAGTATTGTAATCAGATTATTGTATTAAAGTATTATTATCATTATTAAAATATGATTTGATTTAAACTGTTTTTGGTTTCATTTCCATATCATAATACCAGACTAGCATTACTCCTAAATGTATGGCTTGGTTTTTCGAGATGTAAGTGCTTCTGTAAGATCACACAGGTAGATCCTGTTCTCCCCTTGACTTTTCCCTTTCTTGCTCATATTAAACCTGATGGCAGGTTGCTGACAGACTTCACATATTGTCTTCTGGCCTTTGACTGCAGAGATTATATTATTAATTTGAATAAAACATCCGTGCTCACAAAGCATAATGGTCCCTGTGTGGAAATCAATCATCTCAGATAATCATCATTATCAATAATGCCAGTTAATTACCATAACAATGAGGAGGGCAATAAATGAGTACATCAAGATGAAGCGCCAGGTTTAATACAAAAAGGAGAAAGCGATCATCTTTTTGTGCCTTTGCTTCACGAGGCGGTGTTATAAAATATTGCTTTATCATAAAATAGCATAATATCTTTTTACTAGCATGTTTTATTCAGTACTGTTAAGTGTCATTTCTATAGCTGTATCTCAGTAGTTAGGTTAAAAAAATGCAGTTCTTTAAGAATCTTGTTTTAAGCAAAATCAACCTCAAGCACTACAATTTCAATTTAAGTTCATTTTTAATTAAATGTATAGCAAGCTGTGCACTGGCAGAAATTTTAAACATTTCATGGAATATACAATTTTGGAATAGTTCAAAGGAGACTTTTCGCCAAATAAAATAGTAAATACTGTACTGTCACTTTGAACTGAACTAATGGCTCCATTTTTCATTTTATTTTTTAGATTTACATGAACGGTTGTGATTCAAATTTGTAATTAAAATGTCAGGGCCACCACCACCCATGTGGCCAAATGCATCCACATGCATGCACACAAATCGATAGGTGACATGCAAGTTCAGGGCTGGACAAGCAGTGACCATCCACCTAGCACTGGAGTGAGTGCCTACAAATCCATTTCTCAGAGGGCCTATCACGGCCGACTGCACTATAATAAGAGCACAAAATGAGGATTTGAGATTTAAGCATGAGATGAGCAGACAACAACAGAAACAGCGCATGAACAGATGAAGCACTAGGCAACAAAGCAGGAGATCAGGTTAAACTTGTGATAGAAAGTAGTGTAGCGTGCCATTATGATCCAACTATGATGATACACTTGACGCTCTGGTGTGTGCAGGTGACTGTGCGACTTACAGATTTGGCCGTGGCTGAGATGTACTGGACCACCATCTCTCGTTTGGTGCTCAGGTCCTTTCCACGCAGAGGAGCTTTGCGATCCTCATTTAGGTTCATGTCCTCCTACACAAAAACACAAAGATAGCACATGAAAAATTAAGCTGCTGGCACACATTGGCTGACATCTAGATTTAGAAAATTAAAGCATATTATAAATGAGATTTGTCACATTTATCATACAATGACACATGTAGGTAATATACAATATGAAAAGATGTTGGTGTTAAAGTGATATATTATTAATTGGACAGGTGTAGATTACATACTCAAACATTTTCACACATAATACATTTTCTGAAGAACTGAATAGCACCGGTAAAATAATCATGTTTTTAATTTCCACAAAACACACTGTAAAAATCTGATAATAAACTAAAATCCTTACAATATTTATAAGTTTACTTGTTAATATGCCTGTCATGATAACAAACTTTTAAGTGCTGTTGTTAGGGGTATTGTTGAAGTAAATATAGGCAATAAACAATAATACTGAGAGTAATTTATGCCACTGACACAATAACCCAAGAGCAGATTTAAACCACAAAACCTACTCTAAATCTGCAATATTAAAAAAAAAAAGTTATGAACTGCAACATATAAATATCAAAATGAAAAACTTTAGTACTTAGTTTGCATCTGTAATGAGTCATAGAAGTTATACATAATTTTTACATCTTAAATCATATATAGTCCAAAAAAAAAACAAAAAAAAAACAGTAGGGCAAAGAAAATGTATCAACGCTAAATACTGACTCCCCCCAAAAATGTTCCAGCTCTCCTATACTGAACGATAAATCAATATAATAATTATTATGACAGGCCTACTTGTTAACCTGGATTATGTTTCATGGAAATATTCATAATTTGGTGGGGTTTTATTTCATTCGTCTATGGGCCATTTAAAGTGCACTTTTACCATTAAATACCAATTACAACTAAATCAAGAAGTGGCCCATGTCCTTCTGCAGTTCATTACATTTATCGCCCATGCTTCATTGCTAAAGACATAAGGTACAGCAATATATTCCAGCAATAATTAGTCCTTGAAAGCGCAATGGCAAGGTTAGAGCGGACTGTACACGGCGATCCTGAATGGGAGAGCAAAATCAAACAAGGGCTCCTCTATTGAGGCCGTGCAGGCGCATCAGATGGCTGGATAGGCAGTCTGTGTGTGTCATTGGGAGTATTATCTTTGTGCTTCTTTAATTCTACATCACAAAAGGGGTCTTTCATGTGAGAGACGTCAGGGGATGGAGCGAAGGCCGGACAGAGCACTAAAAGCCAGGGAATGACATGATGATTAGAATGGAGGGGATGTTTATCAGAAGCACTCTCTGACAAAGACACGGCTAGAATGAACCCAGTAAAAAAAACATCCTGCTCTGGGGTTTGAAACTGTTCATGTGGAGCTGTAGAGCCATGCTGCCCTCTGCTGGAGATGAAAGGAACTTGTATGTGGTTCATTTCATTTGGCAGTGATTTCTCTCCTTGGGATTCAAGTATTAAAACAGTTAAACCTAGTGCACTGTATGTCATCATCGTTGTAGACTGAGTGCTGAAAAGCTCTCCCACATGTAATCTGATTCAAAGAGTTCTTCCTTCATTCGTCAGTGAGGCATGCACTAGGATCCCACCCAGGGGCACTGTGACCTAAATTCCTCCAACTATGTTTCCTCCAGTAAAGACCCTCGCAGAAACGCCATTAATGTCATTTTGGAACAGACAAAAGCCAACGTAGCTCCAATTTAAAATGGGCATGTTTCTTCAGCCAACAAACAAGCGATTTTTAATTAATCTCTGAACCCGGGAATTTTATCTGCTTAATTGGCATTCAAAAGGCTAGCCTGGGTGAATGTGTGGTAGGAGGAGCACAGCAGTGGGCCTGGGGGATGTGTGTGAGGGGGCAAACTGGAAAGAAATGAGGCCTCTGTGTTTGAGGCTCCAAAATGATTAATGCTCTTTTATTAATTATGCCCTCGCAGGCTTCATAAAAGAGTCCCAGGACATGTTGGACCATGCTGCAATGATGAGATTGGGCCTGCACCACTGACAAGGCACAGCCTAGAGAAGTATGTATACATCTTGCTTGTAACACTGCTCATCTACTTCACTTTAGATATGTAAACTACAGGAATCTACTGAATCTCCTGAAAAGATTGCATGGTTAGAGGGGCCTAATTATAGAAGATGACTTTTTATGAGCTTTATTAACCATGTTATAACAGTGCTCCCTCATTTTGATTTTTTTTTCACCTACCCTCTGTCTCCATTCACTGCCTTATACTTAACTGTTATTAATTATAAAACTTCTCATAGACTCATACGTAGGGTTAAAAAATGCAGTGCAGACATTTTTCTACAATGAAAATAGGCAAATGTAAATCTGCTGCTTGTTACAGCGAAATGCTACTATGAAAAAGAGGTATTTTCAAGTTTCTCAGTTTTGAACAGGTCGAGTCAATGGGTCTGTTCCTGCTCATTGTTTAGTGCCAATGTACAGAATACATTGCTAGTGTCAGTTCATTTTGGGGCTATAGAATTTACAGAGGTCAAATGGGGTGTGAATGGATAACTATTATACAGAATGAATGTAAGTGTAAAATGAAAGGAGCAAAGGCATGTGTATGTGCTAGACTGCAATTCTACAAATACCACAAATCTGATAAAGCCGCCACGCACTGAAATGATTAATAGCACATTAAAGCTGTACCACTCAAGAAATGTCTCTAGAACAGGTACATACAGACCCTGCAGAATTGCATGTCTCAATGGCTGGCTTTACAAATCCTAGAGGGGACTCATTTAGCTCAGAGCATCCGCTGGTATATCCCCATATCTCTTTGATGACCTTTCTGTCATAGTTCAGTGCTATTTAGAGCTACACATCGTGATCAGTAAACCACTTTCTGTTGAAAAAAACATTTTCTACTAGTCATTAATGCACAGTTGGTGGTCCAACTAATATGGTCTGGGCTGTCCCTTCATTTGAAGCCAGAAAGACATCTGAAGCCATAGCTTGGGCTTCATCACAACAATCAATAAGTTTAAAGGTGGAGAGACAAACAGCAGAAAATGAGCCAACTACCAGAAAGACACTGGTGAGATGCTGCTGCCATCAAAGAGAAAGCCCACAGCACAGTCATTTGTGAGAGCAGTACATCAAAACCAAAAGTTTACAAGAGCAGTTATCACTTTAAAAATACTTATCCTTTTTCACGTTTTCCCTATTAGCCTAATTATATACCCCTAAAGCATGGAGTGCCAAGGCCTGTCAAGTGTCAGAGTGGCAAACATGGCTTGTGTGTCGTCCGTCACTGAGCAAATTGAGGCCTAGGTTTTAATGTCACGCTACTCTGAGCACAAACATCGTAATAGAGAGGTGAGGCGAGTGACAGGGATGAGCACCCAGGCAAGAAAACACGAGGCACTGGCCTGATGAGAACCAGGGCCATTGGTCGCATTGCTCTGGCCCTGCCAATAAAGACCATTGTGTGAGAGCAGCAGCAAGGCAGACACCACAGCGCGCACATATACTATAAAGATGATCACAATAGTTCACACACACGCTCTATGCAATGGAGCCGCAGTAATTCAGCCTCCTCACTTCAAAGAGATGAGGGGCATGAGGGCTTTTTGTTAGATATCACTGCAGTGGAACACAAGGCAAAAAATGAATGCATTTCAATGGAGAGGGATCACAACGAATGGAGCTCTGACCTTGGAGTAAATATCAGAGTTTGGCCTTTCACCTGTTTGAGAGCTAAAATTTCTTAAAATACAGCAAATGAAAGTCCATGACCTTAAGACATACAGCTCTAAAAACAGGTAATGGAATTCAAAAGCAATATGCAGTGTGTTAAGTCTTGCTGACTTTGTCTTACATAAAATAAACCCCATAATAGACCAGTCTCAATAACAAATTTTCAAGTGCAAGATATTGCTGAAGAAAATACAAACAATATAGTGAATGCCATTATACCATTGACACAAACTAAAAAGAAAGAAGAAAAGAAGTAAACTAAGGAAGACCTATTATGCAAAATCGACTAGTTGTTTCCCCTCACCATTTACTTACCCAAAGTGGTATATGGAGTGATTTGTGCATATTTGACCAATCTTTAATCGCTTATTTTCAAGATGCCATTTTGATTTAAATGTGCAAATTACAAGATAATAATCCACAGATGTCATAGATGATAGTTATATAGCAGATACAAGCACAATAGGTCTACTTAATACTTTAGAAGGTATTATTTTTTTAAGACGATATAGTTTTATTGTGACAGGCATACCCATAAATAGTAAGGAATTCTACTTTTTATTGTTTAACTGTCAGATTTACATAACTCAGGGTGACACAGGGGATTCTAGACTTACATATATTTATATATTACACATATATCCATGCTTTAGGCTTTAAATTGTAGCATGACACATTTCTGAAATATAATTATTATTTATTTAGTATTAAATTTGTATCTTCATTTATAAAGAGGGCTTTTGCAGACCATAAGAGAAAGACAGTTCTCACCATCATCTTTTCAAAGAGGTCGATGATTTCTTTCTCCGAGAGGTTCATGGAGCGGTCGTCGAAGAGGGGCTGTGGCACGGGAAGCTCGGCCTGAGTAGGGAGGGGGTCTGTGGGGTGCTGGATGAGAGGCTTCTCCTTCTCCTTCTTCATCCCCTGTTTTCTGAAACTCGTAATGCGATCGCGCTGAAACACAACACAGCAGAGGTGGAGAAGTAAAAAGTTTATGCCTGGGTCAAGGGAAGGCCACCATAAAGTGTTAGGTGTTATTTTCAATTTAGTATATAAAAAAACATGGATGGAAGTAAAAATGTATTGAGAGAAAACCTTGGCTTGTTTTGTTTTGTATTGAGATATTATTTTATAGCTATAATAGTAAAACGGTTCATCATAGGGCTGTCCAATATAATCAAATCAAAATTGGAATTTGAGTAGGTGCAATTATCAAATCACAAAGACTGTAAGAATTAAGGTTATACAATATCCACTGTTAACAACAAAATATCCTATTATCGAGGAAAAAAGCATTTAAATGTCTACAGAGTGCCCTCAGTTAGTTCAGCAGTTCATATTTCAGTCTTTACTCAAATATGCTGTACAGAATCCTTCTTTTTAAACACAAATCACAAATATAATCGCAATCTCAACACTTTTCAGAAACAATCATGCAGCCCTAGTTCATCAGAACGTGTAATAACATTTTACTATTATGGCAAGATGATGTATGCCGAATCCCTCAGTTGTCCGAGTAGAATCCATGGCAAAAGAGACATTCAATATGGCAAATGGACAAAGTTTTTTTGGTCAAATACGTTTCCTATCTCATCCAAGCTGCTTCTTCAGTTCTGAACTGAAGTGAACAGAACTGAAGAAGCAGCTTGTCCAGTTGACAAATAGAATTTCTCCTTTGCATGGCAAGATGATGTTACCATGTATTTGGGGGTTAATTTAATGTAATAATTATATACTGTATATCATGTAGATGAAATATTGTAAATTGTAGGGGTAGGATTAAAATAAGTTATGCTTCTTCCTACTCCTTTTTTGCACATTGATGTTTTTAACAATTTTCTTCTCTTTATTTTGTATGTTTCTTTGTTAAATGTACATATTCTGAGAGTATGGAGAAAATATGCTGTGCCCTCATACCTTTAAAAAAAAAAAAAAGTTCAAATAAAATGAACTCTAACTCTAACATAAACCTCTGCCTTTGTTAATAAAATTTATGTATTAGAGTTGCCATGGCACTAATGCTTACTCGATATCACAATAAGACAAAAATGTATTAATTTTTTGACTTATACAATAGAATATAATTTCCAACACAGAATAAATGTTAATTATTTAACAATACAATTAGGTCGTATATTACTTCTGATACAAGACGATTCAAAAACTATAGGATGAGTCAAATTTGATTCCATGTATATGACTTTCTTTTCATTATTGATAATACTTAATAATGATAATCAAATGAGTATCTTGGTAACGATTTTTGACAACCCAAATATGCAAACCATTCTCTTGTTTGAAAACTGTTCAATGGAATAACGCCTGATGAATCTTGTGTTAAGTCTGTCAAGTGCAATACCAACCTGTCATCCACGGTTCATGTGTTTTGCTAATTTCGCTAACTCCTAAAGTTAGTCTACATTAGTTTTGTACATTCACCAGCAAATTAACCAAGCAAAATGATGCATGCAACCAGAAATGTTAGTCCAGTTTAGTAGACATGTGAAATGGAGACATGCTCATATATATAAAAGGACATACATGTAATGGTATGATCTTGTCATGACAGTTAAGACACCAAAAATATAATGTAAATCGATCAAACACACCACAAGAAGCACAATATTCCTCTTGCTATGCTGACAATTCATCTAAACAACTATTAAGGGTATTAAGTAGGCCCCAGGTGGCAGCATTTCTTTTTAAGTGCTGCCGTTATTGCAAACTAAATGATCTATGTGTTGTTCTCCGCTGCTTGGATGCTATAGGCCAAGTGTTATAACTATCATAAATTTGAATCCGCAAGTTACAGCACAATAAAAAAGTCGGTTTGATTCTGAGGGCATTGCTAAACTTTGTTACTGATTCATGTTTAAACTTAGAAGATCTTCAGAACTTGTGTGATGCTTTTGGTGTGTTTAATAGATTTCCGTGTGGAAATTCCATGCAATGACAAAAATGTGGTAGAGACAGGGAAAAAAAAAAAGTCACCAAAACGGAAGCAAGCACCTTACCATATCATCAGCCAATGTTTTAATGTGTATGTTCTGTCGAAGGGAGGGCACAGAGTGAAAAGGGAGAACCAACAGAAAATAACAAGACAGCATCCAGTCTGCACATGTACATTGTCTTTGTTTTTGCACAGTAAATAAGGTAAAAAGGCTTGAATTTAAATAGAAGCATTTTTTAAACAATTTCAGTAATTTGGAGCATGTCTTTTCCAGGACAATGTGAGTTTTATTGCAATTTAAAGTAAAAGTGTTGAATGAAGATAATTTGTAATATATTTTACAGAATCAAAAATGTACATGTGTAGGATGTGTCAAAACGTATCCCCAAACAATTTAGGTGGAGGTGAAGAAACAAAAACCTCAACAAATAAAGCAAAATGTGGACCAAAGACGTTCACACAGTATGTACATAGAACCCACCAAAACTAGTTAGTTAACACAAAGTAAAATATTTACAAGCATCCCATGTTTTACTGACAGCGCTCTTAGTAAAATAAATTTAAATGACTGCAGAGCTTTCCAAGTTTGTAATCATAATAATATGACATTTTTGTATTTTCAAATATTTTAGAAGTTAGTTATTGCAGAGGTGTTTCTTGACAGAGAAAAATATGCAGATGTTGTATTTGACAGTAAGTGCCAAGGGTTGCTGGCTGTGTGTTGCGCTGTGAGAGCCAGTCACTGAGAGCCCACCTGAAACAGTAGGCAGTAGAGAGACAGAGCCATATGCTGTGGTACTGGGCTGTGAAGTACTAATGAGCACTGAGCTGTGGGCCGAGGCTGAACATAAAGCCTGCCTCCAGCCTACGCTTTCTAAACTGTTGTAACCAGGAGAGAATACTGGATCATACTGCACCTCCATTTTGGGTCTACAGCATCAGCTGTCGCTTTGGGCAGCGCTCACAAGCTCAAACTACACTATCAACTTTTCTCTGCACCGACCGACTTCACGGCACAGGAAACTCACCATATGTATCTGCCATGTGTTTTCTAAATGTGTTTTCAAATCACAAAAACAAATGTGAAATATTCCTCATCATCATGTTCCAGAAAGAACTTGCTTTGTTCTTTGCCGTAATATTTGATTCTTAGGATTTGACCCGGCTCCCATTTGGAATTCACACTACTGTATGTGTCATTAAGCAAGCTGGTTTCTTCTCAAACTGTGTGAAACAAAAGCTAATTTTCAAATGAAGTACTTAAACATTTTCTAATCAATTTAACAACAATCAAAGCACAGTTTGGTTAATTGCCTTGACTTAAGGGCCTTTCCCTGCCCATTATCTTTGCAACATTGCAACAACGCAATTTAACATCTAACAATTAAGCTGGTGTGTCCTGTGGGCTTTTCCTGCTTATTAAAGAAAACTTTTTCATCATAATAAATGTTTATTAGCAAGCACATATTCCTCTAAATAACCTAATCAAATTAGCTCTGGGTCTCCCCTTAATCAAATATGATTATGAGTCCATGCAGGTCTTTAAAAATGAGAACTAACCGTATTATTATAACATCCCATTGCACATTTGGGCACATTCCCACAAAATGGCTATTTCAGGTAACAATTACAACATTATTGTGTTCATTTATTATGTTATTATAGTAAGTGTGTTTATGATTCAATACCAGCAGGTGGCACATGACATCAGTTTTCAGCCATAGATGGACAATCAGACCTCGCTCATTTCACAGTCTACCTCCACTGTCTCTAAATACTAATGTCAATTACTCCAGCCAATTAGAGCACACCATCTGTATGATATCATTCTGACTCACTCAGTGGAACCATCAGGATCAAGTCACTATCACACTGCCTTTGTCAAACAAATTTAGAAGGAAATTACTTCTTTAATTAGTTCTAATAATAACGGACAAATACTGGGAGCTACTGCCTCTGTCAACTTCACTGTTTGTGTTTGCAGCTTTCAGATTTTTATAGAGACCCTCTCACAGCACAACGCTGCTTAGTGGCGCCAGCGTTGTGCACTAACACAATCATAATGCACTTCATCTAATATATACGTAACCTATAACAGATACGACACGCAGCTCACACATGTCAAACTGAATGCACATCAACCAACAACACATTAAACTTTAGAAAAAAACATGAAGATTTGTATTTTTAGTTGTTGATTAGTTAATTATTAGAAAGTTAACTCTTAAAAGTAGTCAAATGTGGGGCCTGTGCTGTAAACTTGGATGTATTTGATTTAATGTATTTAAATGTAATAATGTATTTAAATAGTCCAGTTAGTGACCACACACTAAACACAAAGTTTCTGTTCAGTAAATGCTATGAAAACTGAAGTGTGTGTGGAGGTTACATTGTTCACAAGGACTACTGCAGGTCGAGCACAAACAGGGAAAGGGAAGTACACAAAGGCAGTACAGTTTGAATGGCAGACCATGTGATCGGTGCAAACTCACTGTGCCCGTAGGTTATCTGCCACACTGACCCTTTTGAAAGACAACTTCTCTTCACAATCTGTACCGAACACCTATAAACTTGTTTAAAACTCACAATCAAGTAAAATTGTAATCTGAATGGTCGAAAAGAGCAAAAAGTGCAATTATTTAAGTCCTTTGCAAAGAATTAAAAATATATCTTACTAACTACTAAAACAGAAATTGTTGTAAAATACGTGTAATTTATGTATTAATTTAAGTTCAGCCTGTTTGAAAAGTACGCAACAGTGTAACAATGTTTGTCAGAAAACTCAATTTATAGACATTTTATTTAATTTTTTTTTTATCAAATTAAAATTGAAAAACAGAAAGAAATTTTAATCTACCAAAAATATGAATGCATCTTTCGTATGTAGATTTAATTATTTAGATAATAATTGGAATATGAATAAAGAAAATTAAGTTATTACTCATGATTAATTATACTTTGCTCTACTTAAGATCACCAACTCTAAAAGCTTACAGAAGATTTAAAAATTCTCTGATGCCAACTTTTATATTGTATATTGCTAATTCATTTTACTTAATTAAAACTTGTCTTGTTGTGTCCCTGTCCCACCTCTGTAGAGTAATTAGTGTTTTTAAATTGTAACTGCTGTAACTAATGAAAGATGCTATTTACATGTCTGATGAGGCTATGGGCCATGCACTCAGTCTCCCTCCACTCTGTGACTAAAGTATTCTTCACCACTTCCTCTCTCCAGTTTCCTGACAGCCATTAAATCTCTCACATGTGTTACATTTCCTGCCCTGTTTCACCCATCCAAGCACTTTTATTTACTTGATAATGGATTATAGCTATAGAAGTGGGAATATGACTTGTAAATATCACTAAATCAGAAGGGAGAGCAAATGAGACATAATCAAAACTGTGACTTAAACTGGGGTACATATTGATCTTTGCAGCTAATGTCATCAACATTCCCTAGAGGTGTGATAGTTAACTGTAGGCACTGCTCTGTCTGAAGCTCTGTTACTTAAATTAGACTTTAATCTGAGCTTTGTTTCATAAAGATCAAGTTTGTTCTCTCATTTTGTATTTTTTCTTGAGATATCACACTATCTTAAAACTTTTTTTCTGTGTTTGTTTATGTGTCACCATGGTAACAGTTGAACATTACATCATAGAGATCCATACACGGCCACTGCGGTGTCACTGTAAACTTTCAATGCCGCAGGCGGTGCGTGAGCTGCTTCAGGTGGTACTTATAGTTCTTCAGTATGTGGCTTTGCCTAATTTTGAGTTAATTTATCCACTTTCTGTCCTTCTTTAGATCATTTCTAGAAATACAGTGGAAATTATGTAGATTAACTTTTAGGGTTTAGTCCTATAGCCATGCCTTTCCTTTGCTTTACAGTTTTTCCTTTGCTTTACAATTGAGAGCCATTGCAATAAGTTATAATAATAATAACAATAATAATAATAATAATTTACACAGATCTAAAAGCTTAAATCAGCATAACCCCTTCAAATATTGATTTAAAAAAACTAATATCGAGCCTATTTAAATTAATGACTCTAGGATACTTAACTGATGACCAGCCCCAATTGTTTCTCACGGCATTACAGATACAGATACTGATCAACTAATCTCAAAGGATAAAATGTGAATCTGTGCTTTTGCATAGGAATATCTAAACCTCTATAACTCTGCAATTGTGTAATCTGATAAAAATGACTCAAGGAAAGATAAGCAAAAGGAATCTGAACTATGCAACTATGACATCACTGGTAGCTCTGGTATGCACAGACTTAATTTATATGTAAAGCATTTTTTCTAACTAACTAACTAATTAACTAACTAACATTCAAGTCATTTCACATTTTTATAACATTCATTTTATTTTCATAACCTAGTTGAAAGTCACAACAGTCTTATCTGGGACTGTAAACACTGTGCTGTTTGTGCACTGTCCTTGGCTGTGTTTAGTATCTACATCCTAGGTCCAAATGCCAAATAGGGTTGTTACTATGATGTAATCCTCTGAAGTGACTTGGAAAGTAAACATTTTCAGGGCTTCCCATCTGCAGACTGGTTTATCCTACCAATACTGCTGCATGTCCTAACACTACCATTCTAATAGTGAAACTGCACACATGACCCCGACAATAATGAGCCAAAGTGTATACAGTAATGCAGCCCGCCCATGCATTTGTATCACCCACATGGAATGCAGGCCTATAGCTCCATAAATGGTCAAAAGTTCCCATATTTTCAGCTAATTCAAACTGATGCTACAGACAGCCAATGTGTACATATTTTAGTCTGAGTTGCTTTTACAAAGTATCCTAGCAAACCTGATCCTATGCGCAAATGTACCTTCGTAGACAGTTAAACAGTCGAAAAAAACAGACATACTCCCAGGCTCCACCCAGGGATGAATAATGACTTCCTCCCTCAGTGCTCTGGTTAGATTTGTGCAATAGTCACTCTGCAAGTCCTTCCCAAGACCTATGCGCTTGGAGCATTGAGCAACCGAGGACATGCTTGGCACTGAAAACAGTTTGGGGAACAAAAAGCTGGTCAGCTAACGGTGTTTGAATAGGATAAGCCAGTGTTGCCATTATAAAGGTGCTGCTGTTTAGATTTCTCAGAGTGTCACCTCTGAGTGGCTCTGAGATTGTATCAGGTCTTTCCTGAGTTATTACAATCACTTATAACTTTGTTTGTAGCTGAGATGTTTTCATTTCCTTGTTTGCTAGCAACAATAATTGGACAGTGAAAACAGAATCTGTCTCTATGCATGAGTCAGTGCATGATAAATCCTTACAAGTCTATAAGCTATCAGAAGGCGGGTGACGCAAATGTCTAAATGAACTTTCCACATGAGCAGATTTTTAGAATATGCAAACTAAAAAGTTGAGAACTTTTGAAAACTTGTTGCCATGTTTATCAGGCTGTGCAACTTGTAGACAGTTCTTTTGCATAATGCACTAAACTTAATTTGCACATTTTATGTGGTCTCAAATTGTCACATTAGATTTGTTTACAGGTTGTTAGCAAATCGAGCAGATCTAATAATAACAAGAACGTCCCGCTCTACAACACGTGATCCAATGGTGATCTCATTTCAGGTAATGGATTCATGTAGTAATGTGGTGATGTCAGAGCTTGTGCTGTCAAGTTGTACACGGAGTATGTGTGTGGGCAGTTATCAAAGAACCAACTGCTTTCTGATCGATTTTGAGTTTAACTTTTCAGGCTGACAAAATCACATTTAATCCCACAATTACTTAATTAAGTGGTACACATCATAGGCACACTGCACTATGACATTTGTGAATGATTGTAAAGTCCAACTAGAGGCTGCACTGTTGTTGATATAATGCTTTGATGGCGGTAAACAAATCATGTACTTACAGTAAGTGCTTTGAAAAGTAAAGCACTCAGTGAAAAACGATCTCTTTTGCTCAGCCTTAACAGCTATTATCTGCTTTGTATTAGGCTACATTAAATAGTAATAACAACAGATCAATAACTATTTGGACATTATTATTATTGAGCATGGCTGCCTTAAAAGTATGTTTTGTACTAATGTGACTTTACTTGGAAGCTCATGCAGTCATAGAGTATAGTATTTGATCATACAACATCCCTCCATACAGTGCACACTGCTGTGGAGGCTTTACTCTTGATGACAGTGACGTGCCTCTTGCATGTGGGATGTACAGCACACCTACTTTCATGTGAACTACACCAAACATGGACAAATACGTACCAGCTTTTTGTTTTTACCCTCATCCTCTCCGGACTTCTTTTTCGATGGTTTGTTTGGGTCGTCCCCTCCGCTGGCTTGATCCATTTTCTAAAGTTTTAACTTCCACTCGTAAAAACTTTAGTAGCGGGTTCAGCGCTCGCAAAAATCCACAAGCACGAGTTAAAACACACACTAAAATCTCCAAATTAGGTCTTCTCAGAATCCATGCCGGTGAAAAAAGTAAAAATCAAGTTTAAATGTCCTCTTGCCAGTTCCAGCAGTCAGTCAGAGAGGCAGCTTGGAGAGGTGTGGTAGTTTCCGTCCTGAGGAGTCCCCTGCTCAGCTGTATTCACTCACCTCACGCTGTGTGAACGCTGTATGAAAACAGAACAGCGTTATATCAAGAAACATTTCATTAGGCTTCCCATCATAGTGACACAGGGGTTAAGTTACACTAATGTTTTTACTCACACGTGTAACTTTAGAGTCTTATCCCCGTGCATGCAGTGACAGACCTACCCACCCAAAACAGAAGGGACGGCTAAAAGCTGATACATTACACAATAAATTGTTCCATGAAAAGGTCGTTCACAAGAAAATGCACAAATATTCACTTACCGATACATGATCTAAGTTATAACAGCGTAACAGAGTGACACTGACCAAAACCGTAGAAATAAATGAGTGAAGAGGCACTGTGTTATGCTAACACTTTAGAGCTATCACTTTTTCGAGCATATCAGTCTGTGTCCAGTGTTGGACATGACTATGAACGTAATCAACATTAATTAATAAGAGTGTTATAACTGTGTTAAATCACCGCTATTCTCTCTGCTTGAGATACTTTACAATGCTGAACATTTAGCAAAGCAACGCTAATAACAATTGCTAAAAGAAAATAATAGCATGCTGCACGTTAGCTTAGCACATACAGCTAAATAAGGAAATTGGCAAAGTGACAACTAGAATACAAAAAAAATGAAAGAAATTTAAGAATTTTTTATATTGTGCCTACCTCTGCAACCAAACGTGTCCACCAGGCCCGCTGCATTCCCGCCTACAAGTCTCTGATTGGTTAAGGGAGTACGTAAGGATGGGGACGCCCTACAGTGATTGGTTGGCGAGTCTGTCAGTCTAGGGGTCGGCGCGGCGTCGGAGGAGGAGCGATGACGTAGGGGTCAGTCCGACTCTGCTCCAGGCGGATGGGCTGCAGACAGCTGGAGGGATTGATTTATAAAGAATAACAAAGGACTAACAAACGGCGGCCCGGGTGAATAGATAGGAGAGACAGGGAGAACTGAGAGTAAGGAGAAAATCATGACCAACAGAGGATAGATGCATGTGTTAGAATGTGCCATTCTTCATATAAAATTTAGACTTAAAAAAATAAATAAAAATAGCAAGACACTGGTATGAATAAGGTTAAGGTTAATAAGGTTCCTACCGTATATCACAGTTATATAGAAGAGGTCTTAAGGAAACATAAATACATAAATAACATAAATAGGCTATAGACGAGACCAAACTGTATTTATTTATTTTTTTAATAGTTATAGTTATTATATTATATTATATATATATATATATATATATATATATATATATATATATATATATATATATATATATATATATATATATATATATATATATATATATATATTTATTTATTTATTTATTTATTTATTTATTTATTATTTATTTATTTCTTTTATTTTTTGCTTTTTTTGTCTTTGTTTTGTTTTTGTTTATATTACCCCTGTAGGGGATGCATTTCACCCATACTTTCAGGAGCAATGGGCAGCACATGGGGCACCCAGGGACCTATCACCATGATCTTGTTGCTGGGCTTGGTCAGGACTGCCCTTAGCTGGAGGATTTAAATTACTTTGGGTTATTTTATGTATTTTTGCTGTATGTTATGTTTTAAGCATAGGCCTCTTATTATAGTCGACAAGTTAGTAATAGTTTGTTGCAGCCATTATGTCCCGAACATAGACTATATATGTAAACGGACATAAGCAACTCGCTAGTCACACATTCCGAATAGGAAGTGAGCACGGGAAGACGTCCAGCTCCATCGACTCCAGCTCCAGTTGACTTTACATTGAAAAATTTTCACCCCCTTTTGCTGTAACTGCTGCCTTGTCATTCTGTTTTTAAAATGTTCGTATTAACCTGGTCTACATGATCCTTTTGTTTTTATTTTGCTATTTTATACGCTAATTCCTAATATGGAACTCAGCTTCAAATTCGTCCCTATAACTGCAGCCTCTGTGAGCTTCATTTGCCTGGAACCAAATGTTATGGGTGACGTCACACTCCTGTCCACTTCTTCATACAGTCTATGATCCCAAAAGAGACAGGATGTTCACCTATAAATCAGAATTTTGGCAATACAATCCAAGCTCAGACTATTGTATGACATTTTGTCTTTGGGCAAGATACTTGACATGCCTTAATTTGCCAACCCTTTATCTAATATATGCTTAACCACCAGCACTGCCCTGACCAAATAAGTCTAACTTACACATATAATAGACTGGGCTATTATATTTAATTTTTTCATCATTTATAACAATTAGAAAATTTAGATTAACCTTTGTTTCTTATATCTAAATATAACATTCTACTCTATTCTTTTTCCCCATAGGAATAAGTTATCAAATGGTATATCAGTGCAACATTGAAGAGCATTGTGTTAGTAGATAAAAACTCATTTAGTTTGTTTATTCAAAATTCTAGATAACATGAAAGCACGTAGGCTAATATAGGCCTATTACAATGAATGTCAGAAAGTGGAAATCATAATGGTACATTTATACACTGTTTTGTTTGTTTTTGGTATATAAATAAATGGCTTTCTTTCATCAATTTGAAAACTTTCCCTAACAATACCTTTGTTACTTGAGACTCTCATGCATTAATAACAATAATCCAATGTTAAAAATTATAACACAATTTTATTTGGTCAGAAAATATTGGTCCAATTATAGACTACCACCACACCACAATGCTCTCCTCAATATTTCCATGTAAGGCATTATATTTTTGAAATGACTGAGATTGCAAAGAACTGCAGAGGAAAGTTTATGACCATAAAAATGACTTGAGACAAATTTGAATTATAGAGAGAATGTGGTTCTTTGAATCCTTTTGAGTCATTTCAGTCACAAATCAGAAACAATTTCCCAAAGTTTGCTTAATTAGAAATTATTCTGTGTTCAGCGTTATGGTAAAAATCATCAGGTTGTAATTAAAATGCTAATTCCAACAGAATGTGTAATTGTTGTAGACAAAACCTGGGATCCCAGAAATGAAAGAAAAAGGCATTAGTGCTGCCAGCCGATTCCAAAATACTAATGGGATTTAAATCAGGCAGTGAAAAGTGGCAGAGCCTTTTTACTTCTTTTACTCATGAAGCCTATGTTAGGATTAAGCATCAGCCCTCTTGCCTCACAACACAAAAACTCTGCCATTGAAAACAAACTCATCATAGATAATCTTTACCCTTTACCCAGACCCTGTCTGAATTTTGTTTAGTCATGTTATGTGTCTGATTCAGTTTTTTTTTAGTGCAGGGACTGAGTTCGGGGGTTACAACATGACTTGGAAAATGTCAATTTAAAATGATGGCATCAATCTTATTTGATAAAAGTTTTAGTTAGTTAATACAATTAAATATAATTTTAAATGGTTTGCAAACTAAATGTATTATTATCAAAAGTAAATTTTCACTGTGGAGGTCTGGGGTCCTATATAGTCCCATCCTGAAAAGTTTTGGGAACTGGTTAAATGTTTAATGTTTTACCTGCCTTATACAGATAAAATGCACTTTGGCCAGCTGTAAAGTTTTCAGTGTGCTTTATAACTAAATTTGCTATGGTATGGTATTGTGCTGCTAACTCTATGTTGAAGCTAGATAGATAGTTAGATAGATAGATAGATAGATAGATAGATAGATAGATAGATAGATAGATCGATTGATCAGGCATCTCAGGCGTACCTTTAAGAAAAAAAACAATACAGCCTGCTGTTTGCTAACACACTGACGCATTGTCCCACTACATCCTTGAGTTTGATCACTTAACTGTGAATGTTTCTGCTCACATGTTTACTGTACATTACCTCCATGACTGGTAGAGTTTCCTCCAGGTACCCAAGGTTCCCTATAGTGATAAATCAAGCACTATCCTCTGGTTACAAAGATCTAAGCTCATCATGAAATGGGGCCCCACAGGTGTTGCTCTGCTGTTTCGCTCTGCTGCAGTAGCTCCAGCATGACTGATTTTTCTTTTTAATTCATTCAAATGTTTCTTAAGTTTTAACATATTAAACAAAGACAGAAACAGTGATGCATAACATTAAAGGATGAGTATACACGACATTTAGACAGTTACAAACAAAAAGTGTCACTATTACATCCTTTACATTTACTCTTACCAACATGTTCTCAGACACATCTTTGTCCATTTTTCTGTCCTTAGACATTTGCAGAGTAGGAGCTTTTATTGGGTTCCTAGCACATTACCTGGATGCATGTCTCAAGTCCAGCACAGGTTTGCTCAGGGCACTTGGGCACTTATCCCACAGCGAACACCACCTGGGTGATATAGATAGGTCACATGTCCCTGCATGAAGTCCAGTATTTTTCCTCTATGAAATACTCATCAATATGGAGGCTTAATTACTTATGGAACTGGTCTACGTCAACCACAATCATCTTGTTTATTGCCAAACGTTTAGCTCATATTGAAATGTTAGTTAAGGGCTTTGTTTCCTGAAGCTATACAGATGTAAATGAATCTGTCAACATGGTTCACAATAAAATGCAATAGTATAGAACAGAAATGAGTCAAGTCATTTAAGAGTTGAGTTTTACAGATATAATTACATAGAAATTCTCTGACAGTATTGTTCTTATATTGTCAGAAACAAAGTGAATCTCTATAATGTTATCTTATGCATTCACAACTGTGTTACCTGTCACATTGATTTATACTGAGCATATTTTTCTTATTGTCATAAATCATATCTATAGCAGTGCAATTGATGATGAGCAGAAGGGAAACCCAGACTAAACAACATCCCAAGATAAACGACTTAACAGAAATTTCATCTCATTTTTACTGGAGAGAAAGCAATGTTGTTACATGAAAACTTTTTTCTTAAAGTTTCAACAAATAGGAACATTGAAGTCACATTAGACAGAATTTGTTCCATTAGGAAGTAATATAATATGTGAATATGTGCATGTTCCCCCTCATAAAAGCTATGTATAAAAAAAACACACCCACAATTAGCCTACAAACCAGTTGTCAATGAAGCTTCTGTATTCAAGTATACCTTATTGCCAATAAAATAACAAAAATACTTTCTCTCTGCAACTGTGAAGTGGTGCTGCCCATTTGCAAGAGGCAGCAAACATTCACAAGTCAGGTACATAGTTAAGCCATTGTTGTGAAGAATAGAACTTTGTCACCATTAAGGGCAAAACAGGGTCAAGCTGTAGGCTGTAGGATGTTAGAATTATAATTTAATATCTGTAAATATAAAAACATAAAAATACAAATAAAATTCAACTGCTATTACACAGGCATATGATTTATTATTTTGTCATTTCTGAAAACACAATGTTAACCTATTTTCTGTTTACCAGTCTGATCACTGAATGTCACAAAGCGTGGTTGGACCCATAGACTATATACATAAATGGACATAGCTAACCCTCAAGCTGCTGCGTTCCAAATAGGAAGTGAGAATGGGGATGATGCCAGCTCCAACGACTCCAACTGACTTTACATTAAAAACCTGTCACCTCGCTCTCTAACTGCAGCAGTGAGTGAAGTCATTTGGTCTTAAAATGTAAGTATTAACCCCCTCTACATGATCCTGGTGTTTTTATTTAGCTTTTGTCTGTAAATCTGGAACTCAGCTACAAATTT